TATATATATATATATATCCGAAAGTTCTTATTTCTTATGATTTAACACATTTTCTGAATAAAATTTAAATTTATAAAATCCATTTTTCAACTTTATTTTCCTCCTTTTCACATTAAAACATTTTCGGCAAATGGTTTTTAAGTATTTAAATTTATTTCAAGGCACAGGTATCTAGCGTTTAAAAAACCGTCGTGTTTTCGTTTCCTTTTAAATAGCTAGTCATGGATTATTTTAATAGTTACTCAATAATTCGTAAAACATTTCTTAAAACATTTTGATTCAGATACTTTTTGTTCTTTTTACTTTTTAATCTTTCTTTTTTATGGAAATGATCTCGAATTTTTCCGACTTACCAGGAGCATTAAGGAATATTCAAATTATGATTGACTATTAAATTTATCCGAAGTCTATAATTTAGATTTATTACATAATATTTTAAATTGTTTTCCATGTAAGATATGTTCTATTGAGTTATCACTATAACTTTTATTTCAATATACATATATACCATTTTATCATCCATCTACAGTAGCTAAACAGCAGACCTATTTAACCACCAAAGTATTTTTTCTCTAATGCCCTCCCGATTGATACTCATCATTCAAGTTTCAGTAGGACAGATTTGCAGGTCACTCTTTCCGGGCACTATATAAGGTGGGCCAACATTGATCCCATAGGACATGTAGTACGGAGAATGAAAGAATATCCATGGCCTGTCTGGGATTCGAACCCAGGACCTCTTTGATGTAAGGTTTGCTTTCTATCCACTACACAGTCTCGTCGGCTCCTTCAAGATATTAGAACCAATATAATTATATATTTTTCTCATCAGTTATTTCTGATCTATTTGTCTATATTTACTATTACTTTATTAGTCTTTCTGGTGTGAATTAATTTAGCCAATTAGTTTTTAAAAGATACTTAATGAGTTTTTTTTTGCAATAAATATGCTAATATTAACACATTGTTTACTGATGAGGGCGCCCGTAGGCTGAGTAGTAGCGCTTCGCTTTCCCACGACACAGGTCCTGGGTTCGATCCTCGGGCCGGACAAAGTTGACTCAGCCTTTCAATCCTTCAGTGGGTCGATAAATGAGTACTAAACACTGGGGGTTTCGCGTTCGGCTGACCACCTAACCGGAACATCTGCGTCTGCACCCCAGAGCCCAATTTCAAGAAAACTGAGATGGGCACAGTAGGCCTTGGCCCTCCATGGGCTGTCACGTCACTGAGTTTAGTTCAGTTTTACTGATGAGGAGATTATTCGTTTTATTCATGTGCAAATGGTGTTGACTTTCGAGGAGATAATTCGTCATTGCGCTTACAATGTCAAGTAATACGTTATAAGCCAACAACGTTAGAGCAAAAAATCTATATTTAGAATGTTTTCCTAATTTTTCACGGGTAAAAATAGCACCATTTCTAAAAGCTTCAAGCATGATCTTTAAAATTGTGCCAACAGTTTTATAAAGTAACAATTGCTGGTAAAGGAAGGATGGTGCACATAGAGCCTCCTACTGACCTACGGTATAAAAGTGGTTAAAATTGTTGTTTTTGACCCACCTACTGCATAAATGTGTTTAAAAGTGTTACTTTTGGCCTACTGTTTAAAAGTTCTTTTATTTTTGACCGACTGTATAGAAGTATTTGAATTTGCTGACTTTAAACTGCTATATAAGAGTGTTGTTTTTGACCAGCTGTATTAAAGTGAGCGTATAATTTTGCGACCCATTTGTAAACGCTGATACTTTTAAAATATAAATGCTTTATTAACCAAATTTAAGGCAATTACAACAAAATAAAAATGTCAATTTTAAGGCAATTAATTGCCGCTTAACTGTATCATTAAAAACAAAAGTTTCTAATAATAAATAATATCAATATTTAAGGACTTTTTCGTCCATTGAGCAATGAATAATTTATTTCAGAAGCCAATCTCCTTCAGATGTTCTCTACCTTAATTTTTAAATATCAAGGAAATCGATTTAAAAGTGATATGTTCATACATTACCAAAACTTACCCACTTTTGACAAAATTAATTAAATATGTCATTACTGCTTCAGAAAATATCCTTTCATTATCGCTGAAGTTTTTTGGCAAATACCCTGGATATCCAAGTACTGGTGTTCCAAATATGTATTCAAGAGCTTCACAAAAACATCGTTGCTTTTCTAAATATTTGTCACCTTCTGTTTGATAATTAAATACGTAAAAATATACAACACTTTGACCTTCAGAATGATAATTAGCAGCTCTAATTACAGGAGCAACAAACAATGCATCCCCAAGAGCATCCAATGTGCTTTCTAAAACGTTCACGTTGTGTTGAGGGGTCTTAGACCAGTCTGTGTATTCATTTATAATAGTAAGAAATATTTCTTGAAGATGATAGCTAAATATGTTTCTAACTAACGTTCTTAAAAGCTTATCTCTGCGCCCAATACCAAAACCTTCAGATTCCTCTTGTTGGGTCACTTGGAAGTAAGAAGTGGATTTTGATATCCCAAACATAACCTCAATTGAGTCAATCGGGTATTCCTCACTCTGTACTTCCAACAAGGTTTCTGGTTCACCTTGAATCACAATACCATCAATAGTTGGTCCAAAACCCGAAAGAAATGTTGGTACTTTAATATCAACTCCAAGTATATCGGAAACAGATCTTTGTCTCAAACATTCTAAAGTTATAGCTGGGTCATTAATTGGGCATTCAAGAGTGCTAGATAGCTTCTGAGCATATTGATTGGCTTCTCTAGCTATTGCCCATGGACTTAAAGCAGACCCACTCAGCATGATGGCGCGATGAAAAAGGCCTAAGGGAAAAAGTGAAGAACCTGTGAAAATATAAGTGTAAATAAGTTACCCTGAAACAAATTTTAACACAAAATATCATAATATATANTACAAATATATACATATATATATATATATATTCTATGTTTTTTCATATTTAAAATTAAGGGGAAGATAAATAGTACGTCGTGGGGAAGTATTTGTGAAATATTAAACACTTAATATAAATAACAAGTGCATATTGTCAGTAATTGCTTTAATACTGTAATTGGGTTATTAATGCTAGAATATAGTACATACATCATATATATTATGCATCATATATATTTTATGTTAAAAATGTAATTTTAACTCACAAAAAGATGTTAAAATTATTTTGTGAAATTTATATTGAGCGTCTACTTGGTCAAATGTATTATTACGTTATGGTACAAATGTTTAGAAGCCATAATTCTAACAAATATGAGGTCTGATTATATTTTATATTTATCTATTTGTAAAACCTTGCATTTTCACAAATTCCGCACATTTAACACGTTCACGCCGTGGTGACCCACCGGTGGGTCACGCTAGATTGTCTCATCGTGGCAGCGCACCGGAGTAAAAACTGGTTACAATAAATTTAATTTTTTAGTTTTTTTCCGGGAATAATAAAAACCCATTACTATCAATTGCTTTTAACGGATGCAATTTTTATATTGAATTGCTTCCTCGCCGTGATAAATTTCCTTACAGTGAATTGTTATTGTTGAGAATAGATTAACCCCTCCCGAATATTATCTAATATTGAAATAGTTCTTCTACCAGTATTTTCTCTATTCCCGTACCAGTATTTTCATTTTTCCCGGCGTGAACGTGTTAAAGAAAATTCAAGGCAACTAAGATAGCAAGAGTAAGATAAAAACAGTTTATAATACATTTGAGCATTTTTATTTATTTCTTTGATTAAATGTTGCGTTGCTTTTAACGTAATAATAATTCGTGGAAAATTTAGCAAGCATCAAAATTGTTTCAATTCTACAACCATCGACATTTTACCTATCCATATTTAAGAATGACATTTCATAGAAATATTTAGAAATTGAATTATTATTTTAATAATTTGAAACTTATTAGAAATAGTAAACTTAGCACATGTGGAAGTTCACTTTACTTTTAAAGGTTAAACAAGTAAATACCCTTTGTCATTGGAGAAAGAACTAGAAAATGTACTAGAGCAGCTCCATGTCCTTGTCCTAAAAGAGTGACATTTTTAGAATCCCCGCCAAATTGTGCAATGTTTTCTTGAATCCAATGCAAAGCAGCGATGAGGTCTGTAATTCCGTAATTCCCTCTTGCTGATCCCTCCATTATCGGTAGAAAACCTTAAAATAATCGTATTATATCTATAACACTTTTAGTCATTGATATAAGCGTAAATTTAAATATTACTCACATAGTAATTGGATAATACCCTACACTGTAAAAAACTCCGGATCAAATTACTATATTTATTACCAAAACTTTGGGTGCATCATCCGTAAGATCCATTTTTACCGTAATATATTATCGTATTTGCATTTTTTTATGTATATAACGTATACCGAATTGAATGAAGGTTATTGTTTATTCATCAATTTATTTGCGGACATTTTGAAGCTAAATTTATAATCAACATAGTAAAATCCATAAAGGTAATATAAAAACGCATTGAATAAATTTTGACATTAATCACTCTCAATAACCAAAATTTAATAGCCATAAATTGCCACTTAATTTCCAGAGAAGTAGAAAACTTCAAACCAATAAAATTTTTAAAGTCGGTTTTGGCAATAATTAGTGAAGTACTGAACGAACGCTCTAAGTTTGCCCGCATGGGAGCAGCAAGCTAAAAGCTTTGAAAGTAATCACGTGGTTTTAAGAGACCACGAGAACTCAGCAGAGGTAATGCCGATATATTGCAAAGGAAGTTGTATCGTGTCCATCAACTTTTATGTCCTACGTGTAGAGAATCTTTCTCCTGAATCAAATAAGTAAATATTTTTTTTTATTCAACTATTTTTTGTGGAATCTTGATGAGAATACTTGGCAACAATTTATCATCAAAATGATTCTTGACAAAAACTTTTTTTCGCTTACTGATAACTTAATGTAAGGGTTACTTTCACAGAATTATAAATACATCTTCGTATCTAAATTTTTAAAAAAGCTTTTTAAAGATCTTTAAGATCAGAAATATTTTCTATTCATTAAAGATGAGTCGAAAATTTACAGGTTTATACAGGTTTAAAACTGGCCACTAAAATATTACATAGTACTTTTTGTAGTGTTATTTATCTAATTCGAGTTATTCAGTGATTTTACTGTAATTACTACATTAAATATTACGGAATATGTGATTTTTAGTTTCGTAACATGCTCCGTTAAAAACGGTTTTTACTGTAAAATGTACTGGCACCCTAGATGCGGGTGCTTCTTACTGTAATTTGATGCGGTTTTTTTACAATGTAAATGGAGCCATATTTCTTTAAAGATAATCATTAATAGCAGAAGCATTCATTCGTTTTTATTTTCTAAATGTCCATGCATTAATGTAATAAAAATGGTTAATTTAAAAGCATGGCGAAAGCATAAGTTTTGTAGATTAAAAAAAGTAGGAGCAGCAATTTTTTATATTAATTTTAAAAGAAACGATAAGATAAAATGATTTCAAACAACACACCTTTTTCGGTATTTGTGAAATGCTTTCTACTTACCAAAAACACCAAGTCGAAAGTTAACTGTGATTGCAACTACCTTTCCGTAACTGGCCAATACACTGCCATCATAAGGGTTACCAGCATTCCATTCAAAAGACTCTCCATGTATAAAAACTAGAACCGGTATAAGATTTCGCCCTCGATGTTCTGAAAAAAAATATAAGTGTTTGAAACAAACTGTTAATAATGTGACATTATTGTTTTAAGTAATAATATAAATACTTTTTTTTAACTAAACTTTTAATGAATATAATAAGAATCTTTGACAGCGGGAAAAATTCCACGCACCTTTTTAATGAGAAAAAGGTTTTTATTTGCTACTTCTTTTTATGATTTGTTTCGTTCTTATCGCGTTCACGCCGGGAAAAGTGAAAATACTGGTGCGGGAGAAGAGAAAATACTGGTAGAAGAACTAATTCAATATTAGATAATAATCGGGAGGAGTTAATCTATCCTCAACAATAACAATTCACTGTAAGAAAATTTATCCCGGAGAAGAAGCAATTCAATATAAAAATTGCATCCGTTAAAAACAATTGGTAGTTATGAATTTTTATTATTCCCGGAAAAAAATAAAAAATGAAATTTATTGTTACCAGTTTTTAGTCCGGTGCGCTGCCAAAATGAGACAATCTAGCGAGACACACCGGTGGGTCACCCCGGCGTGAACGTGTTAAATATGTTTCTTCTTCCAAAAGTAAGAATGATAGCTCGTAAGGAAAATAATTAATTGACATGAAATTCAGTATGTCACTTTAAGACATAATTTTAATTAATACATATTTACGAATCCCTATTTTTGTGTGATGTACTAATAAATAATGATGTTATGGTTTTATTGAAAAAGTCAAACACGAATGCATAAGAAATAACAATAAAAAGATAAAAATAATGCTTAAAAATACCATGTATTGTAAATAACTGAATCCTGTGCTCATCATTTTGGATATGAACTACCCTAAAAAACAATAAACGCTGAAATACCAACTACAGTTTATAAAATAATTGTATGACAAAAGCTGTGATGATTAAATTATACAACCAGTTTTTATCATTTTTAATAATTCAGCGGATGCTGGAGCAACGGCATTAAGTTTAAATTTTGTGTTCAAAAACATATTACACATGGCAAAGATAAAATTGTAAACATCAAGTTTTGTTTTCAACTCGCTTAATTTAATTGAATACAAAAATTATCTCGGTTATAGATTGTTACATTAATTGTAAAGTAAAATCACTCCACCGATTTGAATTCAAACAGACAGAAAGAGTGAGTAGTAATTTATTTTGATTTCCCAGTCTTTATTTCAGTAAAAACATTATTAGCACCATTTCTTTTATTATTAATCTTGAGTCATAGTTACTTCATAGCGCTAATTAAGAGGTTTGCGTAATCAATATCTTCAAAAATATTGCCACCACTTTTTATAAAATTAGGCTAAGATATGTGTGAGTTGATTAGGTATGCTGTTTTTCGAAGCTCAGTCACCAAGGAAAATAAAAAAAGACGAAGTTTAAGTGCCTTACACTTGAAGCAAATCCGATGATTTTAAACTACTTTACATATAATCTTTGAAGAATATTCTGGGAGTTGAACAGGTAAGTAACTTAATTAATTTAAAAGTTATTACACTTTTGTAAAAATCTCTGATTTGGCGATATTTTTCCATCGAAATGAAAATTATCAAAATCAGGGCCTTATTCTCAGTTTGACAAGTTCTTATGAGCCAAAGTAATGCAACATCGGAGAAAGTTTTTAAATATTAAAAAATTAAACCACAAACGCTTTTTATTTTCACAAAACTGTGGCTCTTCTCCATATTGACGTTTTGTGCCAGAGCTGGCTTCATAAGTGTTTATATCATGTTATTTCTTATAGTTACTAAGGAAGTTTAAAGATTTAAGAGGTTTTAGGGACCGACAGCAAATTACAAACGAAAAATAGTGTTTCTGACACCTTGTGCCAAAACATGTAGCGATACATTTGTAACTTGTAACAATTAATTTAGTAATTATCTGCAATAATTGCATAAAACTTTTTCAAAATAAATTTTCCAATTCTTTATCTTTTCAAATCTTTATTTTATAAACATAGTTTTATCTTTACTATAAATATTTATTTATAAGGGCATTTTTATAAAAGCTAATTTTTTCGTCTTAAGGTTTTTCGCTATGAAATTAAAAATATGCAATAAAATTAAGCAACATTTTGTAGCACTTTTTTTTAATTACAAAATTTTTGATTTAAAATTTAAAAAGCAAAATGTTGAAAACTGTGCAAGATATAAGTAAATAAAGAAATTCTCTTATGCTACTAAGTAGTTTCTGTATTTTTTAATAGAAAAATTTAATGATAAGACTTTTTCTACAAATATTATTTTTTATCATAAGACAAAATTAAATAAAAATGATAATACCTAACAATAATTGTCATACAACGAAATATACCTGTATAAGGAAATAAAAAAAATTAAAAGAAATAAAGCGAGAAAGAAAAGATACTTTAACGGGAGGTCATTTCCAATAATGCCAGTGCCATTTATAATAAATATTTTTTAATAGCACAAATAAAATTTGCGATAAATCTGTCATCATTTAGAGCATCCTTTTTAAATGAAGGAAAACTATTTTGAAAATCGCTGGAAACTTTTTAAATTTCCAAGATATTCAAATGGGCTTTTTTTCATTAACTGCCAAAACTACTTTAATTACTCATATCTTGCACAGTTTTATACAAATGTTTCTCAAATTTTAAGGCAATTAATTATAGAAATTAATTTTAAATCACTCAGAAAATTGTGTTTAATTTTATTGAAAATTTTTAAAGCTATAGCGTAAAAACGTAAGACCAAAAAAAAGTTTTTTTTCATAAAAATGTCCATATCTCCGTAAATATTTAAACTAGAGTTATGAAAGTTCGTGTAGTTATTGCATATAATAGCCAAAACAATTATTAAATGTTACAAATTTGTTACTATATTTTTGGCAATAGGGTGTTTAAAAACACTATTTTAACATCTATTTTAACCTCAAACCTCTAAAAGCATTAAACGTCATTGATAATCATGAGAAATCGCATATCTTGAACACTTCTATATTTATAAAATTATTTTCTTAGTATTTTGGAGAAAGATCAAAAAAATTTGTTAGTATAAAAGTGTTTCCATTATTTTGTCCAACAACTGTATACAAGTAAAGCGATAGCTTAGCATTTTTCAAAGGAGCATTTACTGATTACAATTTGTTCTTTATAAAATTGATTTAAACATTAAAATTTAAACATTCATAATTGAAATTTAATTAAATAACAATTATTATTTAAATTTTCAAAATCTGTCAAAGCTTCAAAAAGCGTTAAAAAAACGAGAAATGTTTTGATAAGACGTTTCGAAATCTACTTAAATGTGATACGTATTTCTAATTCGTATCAAACATATATTTTTCTTTATTTTTTTATAATATTGCTTAAAAAACAGCTTTTTAAATCTTGAATATCTGCATGTCACTGAAATATCTTCCTTTGTTTACTAAGCCTTCTTATGCAAATTTTATGCAAAAGTGAGATACATTTTAAGTCTTAGATCTCTCCCGATTTTCCATTTGTAACATTGCGAAACAGTTTTAAAGAAGAAAAATAAACAAAAAATTTACTTTTTTACTTTAAAAATATCTTTTTTTCTTGAAACTACATAATCAGGCAAGGATCATAAATGAAGCGTTAAATCTACTCACTTTCAAAGCAGAGAAATGTTTACGTAACATTTCAGTTAAGTTTAGAGCTTTCAGCTGCAAAGTTAGTTTTACCTTTTTTTATAAAGAAACGAAAATATAAATAAACATTATGTAAATAAACTCCTTCAAAATTAACAAAATACAAAAAGCATCTTTTAAAGATTAGCTTTGCATTTTGTACACACATATATATTATTTACATAATAATTTTTTTTTCCCAAAAGAAGTTAATATTACATTTTTGGTATGCAATTACTAATTTTCATTATGCAATTACTACGGGACATTTCAAAGAACTAGTCTATTAGAGTCTATTAGTGACAGTAAATTTAGGTTAAATGTTACTAGTGGTAGTAAATTAAGTTTAATATTAGCAGAAATTTCTTTTTTTTTAATACCACTTTAACATTTCCAGGTCTGGTTGGGCACAATTTTTATACAAATATAAATTTTTTTGCAAAGTAACATATAGTGATGGTCTGAAATTTATTAAATATTTAAACTCGTTACCGCCATTATAGTTTTCAAAGAACTGTAGGAACCAGATTCGCTATTTGACATTTAACATAGCAGGTGCTGTACATTCCTACAATATTTAAAGTGCTAGGTGTACTATGCAGCTTTACTCTTTTTACGTGACTGAAACTGGTTGGCACTTATTTACGTTCGTGTATCAATTGGTTAAATTAAGCGATATATAATATAAATTCAACGATTCGATAAATTAGTCGATATATTGTGTAAATTTAGAATATTTAATATATCAGATGTAATATTAGTATATTATAATAATTAGATCAACTTATTTGGCGCACTGTAGTGTTTCGATAATTACATGATTTGCACGAGTTTATAGGCAATAATTTTATATTTAAACATACATGTAATGGGTTTTTATTCAGGAGATTTTTTATATACTCTCCATTTGTATGTATTTTTAACGTTATGCATTGCAATGTTAACCAACTGATACACGAACCTAAACAAGTGCAAACCGGTTTCAGTCGTGTAAAAACAATGAAGCTGTATAGTATCACCTGATAATTAAGAGTTTACATCAAATCTCATTGTGCGTCTAATAATTAATCTAATAACTGTAGATGATGGCGAAATTTTAAGAACCTTTTCTTGCTTAATTATTATTTAACTACCACGTCAAGTAATGTTTCAAGCAGTAACTAGCAAGTTGGCAGCTCTGGTAGTGTAATAACATTTAAGGTAAAGCAAAGTTTGTTTTAATTTTGCTATTACTTTGAAACTTTATTGCTCTATTATCATGTCTCATAAATTTGTTTTAAACATTTATTATACATCGTGGTTGCTAAATCATTATAAGTTAACTTCATTGTGATGAAAATGCAAAGAGCAGATCTGCCAAATTTTATTCTGACAGAGAAAGTATTTTCCCTCATGGAAGTGAAAGATTTATTGAAATGCAACTGCAGATAAACTTATCTTTACAAAATTGCTTGTTTTCGTTTCTATAACTCCTTGACATATACAAGATTGATTTGTTTGCGTTTAGTAGTTGGCAAAATTATATTAAATTAAATTTATAATTCCTAGTACTAAAATGAAATTTATAAGATTCATTACCACTTTATATCTAAAAATGGAATAGTACGGAGAGTTCTTAGTTATTGGCAACTATGGCAAAGAGTAATATTTCCTACCACACTAAATATTTTTTTGATGAAATGAAAAAATTATGAATTTATGCATTTAATCCTTTAATGCAGATGAGACACCGGTGTCCATTTTATATATTTTTTTTTCTGACACTCTGATTACAAGCAAAAGCTAATTTTGAAAATTTTAAGTATAAAAACAGTCTGACATTTATAGAAAAATTTGTTAGATAATCGGAATTATATTTGTATTTAAATATAAAATTTCCCCCAAAGAAAACAGTTTTAAAAACAAATAATTTAGATTAAAAAATTTATCAATAATTGAAATTGTAAATTAAAAAACATTTTAGTGATAAATAATTGTTTCTCTAGGATCTAAACAACTGCAAATAAGTGCATTATATATATAATGCACTTATATAGCGCAAAGCACAAGCAAAACATAAGTGAATTGAATTAATCTTTTATTTAATGTATTTTTAAGAATTGGCGAGGTTCAAATCGCTCACCGAAAACTGTGTGCTTGATTTTTTATCCTAGGGTAAGTAGAACGAGTTTTTTTCTCTATTGATATAGGTTTCAAGGAAAAAGGGAAACATCAATAATTATAATTGGTCTGTAAAATATGTTCTGGGAAATTAGTTACAGGGATTAACGTTGAAATGTTAATTAATGCATACTTGAACTAAAAACAGATTAATAGACAGGATGTGAATATTAAAGTGCGAGGAAGAGCATTTCGTTTAAAATAATAAATTTAAAAAGAAATTTACAGAAAAGGAAATAATTAAAAATAAACATCATTAAATTCATTGCAATTCGTAAACAAATTTAAATAGTTGGATTAATCAACACAAAAAAAGAAAAATTACAATCGCCTCGTTCATTTTTTTTATTTATTAATTGAAAGGATTCTAGCTAACATTCATAAATTAAATCACTAAATTATTTGATAAGCGTTTTTTCAATGAAAATATTCAATGTATTTTATATCATAAGTTAAATACGCTGAAAATAATTACTTCCCACAAAAAATCAATTAACTTAAAATCTTAGACATCACTTACAATTTTCGTTAACCATTTACATTAAATCTCAAATATCTTCATCTTATTATATTTTAGAAAGTAAGATCATGGAAAAGATTAAAAATTCGTTTCCAGTATCTGGCTAATCTCTTAAAATCTCTTTACTTTCACGATATAATCTTTACTCTGTTTCCTATTGAAAACATAAAAGACTCAAGTAACTTAGTTTTGAAATGTTTCATTTTGAGTATAAATTTGAGAGGACTTAAATTCTTTCCTTATTCCATTATAACTTAAATCTCTTTAAGAAACTGGCTTATAAGACATTTACATTAAAAGTTTCATAGATGTTATCAGATATTTTTTGAACATAAATAGAATGGTACGATTTATCAAATATAAATATCTATACCTTAAGTAATGAAACATTTTATAAATTAATTCAAATCTCTTTAAAATGTCTTTTCTAAGTAAAATTCTATGGAATTTAAAAAGTAGAATAATATTTTGAATCTTAATTATTTGCTGCGAAAGCAGAAAGTGGGATACAGCCCAGAAATAATAGTTTAAATAAAAACTTCCTTTGCTTCAAAGTATATGAAGATAGTAATAAAAGTCGACATGCTTCGAACGCTCAAAAATAGGTGCACCTACTCAAGACTCGTCAGACTTGGTGAAAAAGCTTTTGTTTTCCCTCGTGTAAGAAGGAGAAATGCCTACCAACACGCGCCTGAGTTTGATCAAGGCATCACCTCCTACATCAAAAAGCCTCCACACGGTCTTTTAAAAGTAGTCCGCGCAGACTATTTAAAAAGTGAACCAGATGTGCGCATGAACCCAAAACCTTTTGTAAAAGTAATTGCGAGAAATTTATGATATATATTTGAGAATTGAATATGTAGTGGATGACAAATGAATAAGGCAGACCAATAATATTCAAAAATAAAACTAATTTTTAGTCAGATATTTGCTACCACTTTCTTATTTTAACTAAATTTTGTATTAAATGACTATTTCGGAAAGTGAAAATCCTTCACAGTGGGCTGATCGGATCACCTATAAAAAACCGTGTGTAGGCTTTCAGTTACAGGAGGCGTTGATCAAGGTCGACTTGTGGCCTACCAGAATTGCGGTTTTCATACTGAAGTATTGCTGCTCACGTTGGCCGACACCCCATGACTGTTAGCAGAATATGGAATTGATGGGTTCATGACGGTCATATGGAATGCCGTGCAGGATCTCAACTGCCCTCCTTCACTAACAGGCGGGAAGACAGACATGTTATTCACACAGGGGTGAAAGCGAGACGGAAACGAGGAAAGGCTGGTAGTAAAACCTTTCCAGTTATAGCTAGTTTTGGGGAGGAGTTTACTTATTCTTTTTTTAAATTTTTCAACAATATCTACTTTATCTTGGAAAAGAAGCAGTTTTATATCTATGCCAGAATTATAAAAGAAATCTTGATAGTTACAGATATTTGATTTTTTTCGAAAAAAATGCTGGAATGAAATNATACACTATTTTTTCTTTTATAATCTTAATTTTTAAATGATATTGATCTCCACTATTCTTACAAAAATTAAGCACATATATTAATATGCGTTACTATCATGGTAGTCAACTTAAGTTTTCTCAAATACAACGTATTTGTTTGCTTAAAATTGAAGTACTAAAATTCCATTTTAATACCACTGGGAAAAATGATAATGGAAGGGGTTAAAAGTTGCCAGGTATGTATTTCATTTTTTCGAAAAAAATGCTGGAATGAAATGTTTTACGTACCAGGTTTTTCTCTTTTCCGTCTTGCTATATAAGGGCTTTCACCCATGATCGTATATCAAGGTGCTGATAAATTACAGTAGTCTAAATCTGTGTAAATAAATCTTTTTCCAAAATGACGCTATATTTACTTAAAAACGCTAAGAAATAAAAAGTGGTAACACTAATGTTCATTAATTAAGATTTACTTCAAAGAAACAAAATAGTTTCGCCTTAACTATTTTCTCCCATTACCAAATAAGTTGCTACGTTTAAGTCGACAATTTTGATTAACTTTTTGAATTATAATAATAATTATAAATGAGTTTGACCACCACTACATATAAATAATTACAATAAATATATTAAAGAATAATAATCTTTTCGCAAGTGAGTTTCAACGGGATCAAAGTATAAATATATTTCTGAGTCAGATTCTTTTTCGTTTATTGTTTTACAACCACTCTGAAAATCTATTCTCGGAAAGAGTGAAAGTTGGCAGGTATGCCTTAAGGGATCGTTCAGCTACGTCACGAACCCTGAGTCAACAAATAAGGCCATTTGCAAGACGAGAGTCTGCACGAACAGTTCGACAACTTTTGCAGCAGCATGGATTGTCATCACGACGACCATTGACACTGCATCGCTGGGAGCGCCTCCAATGGTGAGATCAACAATGAACCCGGAAGCAGGAATGGCAAGACGTCGTCTTTTCAGACGAATCCAGGCTCTGTATACAGCACCACGATGGCCGCATCCGTGTTTGGCGACATCGTGGAGAACGCCCATTGGCAGCTTGCATTCGATATCGTCATACGTCTCGATCACCTCTTGCTCGCATTGTCGGCTCTTTGAGCATTTCAGATCAGCCGTTACATTTCAGATGTGTTAGAGCCAATTGCTCAGCCTTATCCTCGAGGCCTCTATAACGCTACGTTTTAGCAGAAATATACATGACCGCATGTTGCACTCACAGTCCTGACCTTCCTTGACAAAGAACGTGTTCAACTGTTGCCCTGACCAGCATGTTCTCCTGATCTTTCACCAACTGAAAACGTCTGGTCAATGGTTGCCGAACGACTGGCTCGCCTCTACTGGCCAGACACTAAGGTCAATGAATTGTGGCATAATGTTGAAGCTGCATGGAATGCTGTACCAGTCCATGCTATCCAATCTCTGTTCAACTAGATGCCCAGGAGAATAACTGCTGTTATTGCTGCCAGTTGAGGCTGTTCTGAGTATTGATTCTTTAGGATCTATACATCCAAATATCCTGAAAACTTAATCAATTGTTCTTCCATCTATATATACAACTGACCAATAAGTATCATTCTGCATTTTGCATTCCTTCCTGGTGTAGCAATTTTAACGGCGAGTAGTGTAGTTTATTCAAAGATGTGAAAATTGGGTTTTACGGAGTGAGATTTGGATTTTACGGTATAGAAGTGTGTTATCTTTATATTCAATTTAACTTTAATTGACAATGGTGCGAGCCCGCAGTCGATAGCTTAACTGGCTATCAAAACAAACAAAATAAAGTAAATTCCTAATTTTTTTTTCTTTCTTGAAAATTTAAAAATGAAATACATCCATTTTGATAAAAAGTGATGATAAAATTCGAACCGTTAAGACGAATCAAGAAGAAATACAATTTAAAAGTAAACTACTACAAAGTTATAGTTATAACAAAATAATTTGCTGTTTACTTTAACTAATTTTAAAAAGTATTCGAAACTTCAACTTTGTTTCAAAACTTAAATGGGAGTAATTAAAAGTTTTAGAAAGACTTTAATAGAATCCGAAAGAAATACAAAATAAAGGGCAAGACGGTGTATAAATTCAATTTCAAAAGAGAATCTTTCAAATATCTTTAGCTTCGTATCGAATTTTAGATAATGCTGTGTAAATGACTTTTCTAAACAAGACCATGACTTTAAAAGTTTGTATTTTCTTTAAAGTAATTTATTTAATCCTTACACATCTTAGGAAAAGTTTTCCTCAGTATTTTTAGAAAATTCAAAAAATGTTTTAAAATCGAGAACTTTTTTTTCTTAGTAAATTAAATCAATTTATTTGATTTAATTTTAAAAATAAATATTTGAAAAATACTATTTTTAATAGAAAAATACTATTTCATCTTTGTACATTTTAGAAACAGTTCTGTACAGTACTTAAACAGCAAGAAAGTAAAATTAAAAGTAAAAAAAAATCTCAGATTAATAATTTGCTTATTTTTTAATTTCTTTGTTTTAATTCAAATTATACTTATTAGGACTATACTAATTTTATTCTTATAATTAAAAACTACCAACTATATTCTTATTATTTGCAGAATACTGTTTAACTCTTATAAATGCTTGAAAATTGCAGTTTTTTTAACTGTAGAGAGTAAGAAAATGAGATAACTTTATTTGTTTTAATTTATGCTGAACTTATTATAAAAACGCTATTTCAATTCTTATTAGAAAAATACTATTAATACATATTCGGAACAGTTCTAAAAGATAGTAGGGGAAAATCATTAAGAATTTAAGTTCCAATATTAAGAACTAGTTTATTTTTCGCACGAAATTAAATAAATTATTTTTTCTTAAATTTAAATTAAGCTTATTATAATCCTTATACTCGCTAGTAGCAGGTTTGTGCAGTGTTTTTAATTTATTAAACTTAACATATTTATTTGGTTTATTTCAAATTAAACGTTTTAGAAAAATGCTATTTTCCTTTACTTTTATATTATATTTAATGACAAATTTTCGTGGCATTACAAGAAATTGGTACTGGTATTTTTATTTACAACATACTAGAGTTGCAAAAAGGGCTATTGGCGACGGCTAGGAGACATCCCTGAGGATGTTCCGGAGACAGCATACATACGTCACATCCCGTTTTACAATGAGGTCACATTCACGAACTATCAATCAATCCACTGATCGAATTTTGACCTGAACCAGAGCACGATACAGTAAATTGACTTTATGAAATATAAGAAAGCTCTGGCAATCTCTTTGTATATTCTTTTGAAAACTAAACACTTCAAAATTCTTGCAATGTTTAAAAAAATCCATTTTCTAGCAAACCAACAAAAATTGCTTATTTTTGTACGAAATCGGTTATTTAGCATTTTCCATGTTATTTATTGAAAAATAACGCGTCCATTGAGTTGAATTTTTTTATTCGCTTTTAAGAAAAAGAAAAATTTATTAAAAATTAGATACCTTTTATAATTTCATTTATTAATTTAAACATATTTGTGCCCAGCGTTCTTTCAGAAGGGCAGTTTCTTTAATCAACAAAAAAAAAAAANAAAAAAAAAAAAAAAAAAAAAAAAAAAAAAAAAAAAAAAAAAAAAAAAAAAAAAATCTGTAGCACAAGTGTTTAATTATAAGGATTTACTATACGGAAACAAGATTATTCTTTCTAGCATAACTTATTAATAGAATAAATATAATTATTTGGAGTTAAACTCAGAGCACAGTGACTTTATAAAATTGAAGGAAGAGATAGTTAACAAAATTATCTACTTCATATGAACTCATAGATACAGCCAACTTTTCATGTAGTTTTTTTCAGATGTAGGTCCCTTTTATTTACCGAAATCTGGAGAATATCGACATTCACAAGTGAATGTCAACATTCACGTAGTAGCTTGGTGTATGTCCGAAATATTTGCTAAATACTCTTATTTCTGACTCTCACCGGTGAATGTCAACAATCACATAGTCGCTTTGGTGAATGTCCGAAATATTTGTTACATCCAATTTTATATTAATTTATTCGTTAATATTATCATATTTATTTGATATATTTATATTTATTCTATATTTCAATACTTACTGACGATAGATTAGAAGAAACATCAGTGTTTGGAGTATTGGGCAAATATATATCGGGCAATGGCTCTTGACCTTAAAAAAACATCATTGTAGGGTATACCGGGCAGGGGCACTTAACCTTAAAAAATCATCAGTGTAGGGTATACCGGGCAAATGTATACTGGGCAGTGGCACTTAACCTTAAAAAAACATTAGTGTAGGATATACCGGGCAAATGTATACCGGGCAGTAGCACTTAACCTGAAAAGAACATCAGTGTAGGGTATACCGGGCAGTGGCACTTAACCTTAAAAGACATCAGTGTAGGGTTAAAATATCGAATAAATGTATCTATATCCACGAATAAATTCATATCAAATCGAATGTAATAAATATTTCGGACATTCACCAAAGCATATCTGTGATTGTCGACATACACCGGTGAGGGTCCGAATGTACAAGAATGGAATGAAATATTCGATCTTTCACCGACGCATTTGGTGTTTGTCAACATTCACCGGTGAAAGTCAACGACCACCGGTTTCGTTCTTACGCCGTGACATATATATATACCAAGTAATTACAAAAAAGGGTAATCTTATCTTTTAAGCTACTTAATGCCAATAATAATATGCTATTACTTCATCTTGAGAGTAACAATAATTGTCTATGTCGACGTGAAATCCAGAGAAAATCCATGTCTGTTCTACTGTTGAGATGGTATATTCGGTGTGGTTGGAGTTTGTATGGTATAGTGGACTAGTGATGAAAACAGAAGATGATGAAAATAACAGTTGAAAATGAAAACCGGATCATAACTAATAAAAAGCTTTTATTAAATATATTTGTAGAGCTCGAGATACAAAATATAAATATTATCCATAAAAGTTTCAGTTGAATAAATTTTGCATAATAATATTAATAAGGACAGGCCATGGGAGACAAATCTCCCATAACCTTCCTAATCAGAAGCCAAATTAAAAATGCGTAATTTGTTCCCAACGGTCACAGGAGAACCATGGGTAGGAGATCGAAAGTTGGCAATTTATTAAAATATAACGCAGCCAAAACAAAGCCAACCCAGCATTATCAATATTGGGTTTGAAAACCTACCTTGGCGATCACGAGTTGCCAACAAGTTTATGGGAATTATTACAACCATGCAACTGAAACATATTTTCGGTTAGAAATTTAGAATTACAAAGTTATAAATAGATTTTTGTTTTCGATTAGGCATGGCATTGAATTAATAAGTCTGCATTAGTAATGAATAAAAAGAAAAAGTACCCGTTGCATTGATCTGTAAAAAAGAATAAATATTTTACGTTCGCTTTAAAAGATTAAGTCTTTGGCTTATTTTAAATACAATTCGATTAAGAAATAAGCTTAAGTAATTAAAAATATTTTAAAAGATACGAAATAAATATGTAATGCCAATTGTGGCGTCACATCTACCATGGAATATGAAATGAACGTAAGAGACAAAAATTCAAAATTGTGGTTCTTAAATATTTTGTTTGTATTTGTAATAAGCATATTGACAAAAAAAAATTTTTTTTCAAAATTTTTTACTAGTTTTCGGAAATTCTTCTTTCGCGTTGAGCATTAAAAAAGGGAAAGGAGAAAATGGTTGTCAAGCGACGTTTCTCGAAATCTGTCATGAAGCACTTACATTGATTTCTCCATTGCATTACTATTTTCCGAGAGAAAAAAAAACGTATGAACTAAATTTATAGAGTTATGTAACTTTGTGACCCTTAAATGAGAGAAATATTGAAGTTATATCCGCACCTTTATCCAAAATGCCATGTAAATGAGTTAATAAAGTGTTAATATAAACCTTGTTTCAATTTAAGTTTAACTATGGTTCATAGCAAAGCTATCATTTATTCATGATCAATAATTTCTTTTTAATGATTATATTGTTTAACTTTGCGCCAAATTAAATATATATCAAATTTATACTTGTATGAT